TTTGTTGGCAACCGCCGCAGTCTTAGTACAAGACGACGCTGGTCGTTGGCAACCAGCTCGTGCCCTCCTCGATAACGGCTCGCACGCCTCATTCATAACTGAGGCCTGCGCTCAACGACTTCGACTTCCCAGACGATCTTCATCCGCTTACGTCACAGGTATAGGGGCTACCCAAGGTGGCCGTACAAAGGGAGAAGTAACCCTACGCATATCACCGCGATCATTAGACGCAAACTTCCAAGTGAGTACATTCGTGTTACCCAAAATTACTAATGATCTTCCATCCACCGCTGTACCGACATCACCGTGGCCACACATTCTGGATTTATCGCTGGCTGACCCAAGTTTCGCCAAACCTGGTCCAGTTGATATCCTTATAGGCATGGACGAAATGGACAAAATCCTACTAAATGGGTTAAGAAAGGGCCAACATGGCACTCCAATGGCGCAAAACACTGTGTTCGGTTGGGTATTGCTCGGGAACGCGGCCAATTTACTAATGCAGCCCACATCCATAACCACCTTACACTGTGACACGCAACTATCCGAGCTGGTCAACAAGTTCTGGGAACTCGAAGAGTTACGCCCGAGAAAGCATTACACTCCGGAAGAACTCGCCTGTGAACAACTTTTCGAAGACACTACCAAGCGAGCTGACGATGGTAGATACNCTAAAATGTAAATATCTAAGCCAATTGGTTAGACTTGGTTATCGAACTTACCCTCTGCATTTGCGAAGGTGTAAAGAATAATATGCAAGTGGTTTTATAACGGCCTTCGGCGGCCTTTACTTTTCCTACTCTTTAATTTATTTTTTTAATTAATCAAAACGACGAATTTTCAGAATAAATTTGCTTATACCAATGTGGACATAAATTGCGTTATGACCTCTGAATCTATAGCGGAATAAGTGTAACTTTTTATTTATAAAGTCAATTTGCAATTATGCAAATATTTATGAGTGCAATTAGCAATCTTTTAATTTAAATTTCAGCTTTTAAAATAGAGTTTTCAAATAGGCGGCGTTGACTTACCTTTTTTTGTTTGTTTTCATATGTTAATGCTTTAATAAATACAATTTCTATTTGAATGTATTGTCAGGAATGTATTCCAAGTACTATTAAGTAGATTTATTTTGGAACGAATTTCCGTCATCCCTTGTCAAGTTTGGTTTGCAGACAAACCGGTTTCGGCGTTGTGCCATCTTCAGTGTCATTTTTCGTTTAATGACCCATAGTTATGGTCAAAATAAAGTGCACTGTAAAGTGTGTTGCAGTTTTTTTACAGATATCCCATTGAAATTTAAGCAAAAAAGCTGCAACTAACTTTACAGTGCACTTTATTTTGACTATAACTACGGGTCAATCACTTTAATCCTATTTTTAGGTAATTTAAAACAGTTAAATTAAAACAGGTTAGGGAACTTCCTATTCTTCTTAAACGGAATCGCTATATCTATAAATTATTTTATACTTTTTAGTTCTTGTTGTAATAAAAGCGTGTTTTAAGTTTTTTAACTATAATTTTATTTTCTACTTTTTAGTCTTTTGAAATCTTGCAGTTAATATTATACTACATTTGACCTTAACAAGGAAAATTTTCAATATATTTCAATTTAAATAGGTAATACACCTATTCTGAATATAAAGCAAATTTGAGCACACNAGTCTTTTGAAATCTTGCAGTTAATATTATACTACATTTGACCTTAACAAGGAAAATTTTCAATATATTTCAATTTAAATAGGTAATACACCTATTCTGAATATAAAGCAAATTTGAGCACACATGCCGAATTTTTAATTATATAGACTCACGCGCCACATAACTGCCAACATTTTTTGTGTAGTTATTTCTTTTCATGTAAGCAATATGCATTCTAAATGTGAACTTAATCGGATCATAAATATGGTTTTTCCAAATATCTCGACTCCTGCGCCACCTGTCGGCAAAATTTTTTGCGGATTTATTTATTTTCATATAAGTCATATATTTTCTAAATATGAACCACATCAGACTATAAATGCGGGTTTTACAAATAACTCGACTCCTGCGCCACCTATCGACAACATTTTTTTCGGATTTATTTCTTTTCATATACGTAATATATGTTCTAAATACGAACCAAATCAGAACATAAATGCGGGTTTTACAAATATCTCGACTCCTGCGCCACCTAGCGGATTAAAACATCTTTTAAAATGTATTGTCCTCGAGTTCTGAGCTAAGTTTGAAGTTTCAAGTCTGTAGCTCTTCGGGAAGTTTGTTAAATATTGACTGCAAAGTTCCAGGACATACAAAGATACATACATACATACAAGTGAAGTTAAATAAAAGCTTGTAAAATGACCATAATTCAGAAAAATTACAAATAAATTTTCGTTCAGAATTTTCCCCATGAAAATGGGAAAATTTTAGAAAACGCATAGTGCCATCGCATAGTCCATACAAAAATCTATAGAAATCATAGTTTTCGAATTATTTTCCCTATTTTCTGTCTGTATCGCAGCTAGTCGAAAGGTAGCTTGTTTTGTACCGCTAAGGGCGCTGGGACATTTGACGTGAATTGCCCCATTTATATAAACATATTTGAAAAGAAACCAAAATAATTTAAAAAGTAGTAGTTATGTAAAAAGGGGTATCTACATATGTATTGCTTTATTTTGGTACTTTTCAGTCCGATATTTGCGTGGTGGTCACACGAGGGAAGCAGATCATGGATAAGTATTCAAAATTTATAATATGTATTTAAATGATAAATAACAAATTCCTTTATGTAATAAGGGAGCACTATTATATTAAAACGGCCAATAACCTTTAGAAACTGCAATATGTAACCAATAGCTCGATTTGTTACTACCTGGAACATATTATGCTATTGGAACTAGTAATGTAACTAGTACGAAAGCGACAATTGTAACCGACACCGCTGCAGGGTATGTATGCCCTTTGGCCGCGCCGCTCAAAGAGTCGCAATGGCCGAGTGGTCAAAGCATTAGGCTGGTAGCCGAGAGGTTCCGGGTTCGAGTCCTCCTCGGGCGTAGAGGATTTTTTATTTTTTTATAACCGAGCGCACTTGTGCACAAGGGTATTATAACTTTGTTCACATAACGGTTGTTTGTAACAGGCAAAACGAATCGAGATAGATATAGACAAATGTATACATAAATGATCAGAATGAAAAGAGAAATCGATTAAGCGGTGACTGTCTGTCCGTCCATGCTCTTCATTTGGGCGTAGGACGGATGGAATTGAAAATGAGCGAAATCGGACCATAACCACGCCTACCTCCCATATAACGGTAATTTTCAGAAATACGAAAACTGCGATATTTTAGTAACTACTGAAGATAATTCACTCAAAATTGATATTTACAATGATTGTTACAAGAAAAATAAGAATATTAAAAATTTTTGGAAAATGGGCGTAGCCACGCCCTCTTATGGTTACATGTGTATATCTTGGTAACGCTGCACCAATACCAAACGGCCGAAAATTTTTAAAATCGGACAATAACCACGCCCACATCCCATATAACGGTAATTTAGAGAAATACGAAATCCTCGATAAATCAGTACATATAAAAGCTACTTTATTCGAAATTGATGGTTGCAACAATTCTTTACCGAGAAATACGTTTATGATAAAATTTTGGAAAATGGGCGTGGCACCGCCCACTTATTATTACATATATGTATCTCGCTAACCGTTCTAGCCATTTGTACCAAACTCGGTATGGTTATTGTGCTTGCCACATAAAAGCAAACCGTTGAAAATTGTTGAAATCGGACTAAAATTACGGCCGCTTTTCATATAACGGTAAATTTCAGAAATTTTTAAATTTCAATATTTCGAAATTTAATTATGCTAGTTTACTTAAAATTTATACACCCGCTTATCATGTAGCGGTAGCTTTCGGAAAGGAGGAAAACATATATTTAATACTTGTGCCGGGTATTTAATGTTCGGCTCCGCCGGAACTTAGACTTTCCTACTTGTTTTATTTAGTATTTTTTATTAGTTTTATTTTTTTAACAATCTTTAGATTTTAATGTTTAAAAGTAAAAAATCATTTTACGGTGTTCAACGCTGTATGTTGTTCGCGCCTAACTGGTAACCCTATTGTAAGGACCTGCTAGTTGGCAGTACTTATCGGAGTTTGTAAGTTCTTGCTAGTTTGGTAGCACTGAGTTGTAAGCTGTCAAACCATCTTCCGTTTTACTCTATTATTAAATCGCTTTCATCAACATAAAACGTGTATATTTTTTCATCTGGATCAATCCGCTAAATTGTAATCGAGTTTCGACCGCTTTTAATCGCTAACATTCTGGTCCTTCGGCCGGATCTCGAAGTCTGTTATTTTAATTGCAAACCGCGCGACTTACGCTATTTCTGTAAATTTATAATTATCTACATTCGCGTTGCCCTTACACGCAAATGTCTTCGCTCAAAATCCGCGATTCCGCTTTAAACTCCATTAAGCGACATTTGCAGTCGAGTAAAGCAGATGTGCTTTCGGTGGACGTCGAAGTGCTTTCCACGCATCTACAATTATTGGAAGAGCAGTGGGTTCGTTTTTGCGAAGCTCAACAAGAAGTGGAGCTGTCATGTGGCGACGAGAACGCTCCTATGGAGGAACAATCGCGCATACAATGCGAGGAGTGGTACATAACTGCTAAGGCCAACTTTAAACGGCTTATGTCATCGCACATACAACCACCACCGCATAATCCTGTTCCGGTTGCACATGCATCCACGTCGCTGCCAAAGATGCAGTTGCCCTCGTTTTGTGGTGATCCTACGGAATGGTTATCCTTCCACGACTCATTTTGTTCGTGGTTAACGCGAACGCAACCCTGTCGGATGGGCAAAAACTGCAGTATCTGCGTAACTGCTTGAAAGGTGAAGCACTTAATTTGGTGAGTAGTTTGTCAGTGTGTGACAGTAATTATCGTGAGGCATGGGACTTGTTGACCTCAAGGTACAAGGTCATACGAGTCATGGTGGACAGTCACATACGGGCTCTGTCATCTATAGAAAAGGCGAGCAAAGACTCCGCTAAGGCAATCAAGCACGTACTTAATGCTACATTGCAGCACATCGGTGCGCTACGCGCGCTTGGTCGACCAACCGAGTTCTGGGATGACTGGCTCATCCACCTAACTGTATCCAAATTAGCATACGAAACCCGCAAACAATGGGAATTGTCGCTTGTGGCTGACGAGTTACCGTCGTTTAACGCTCTTCGTGAATTTCTAGAAACTCGTGCACGCTCTTTGGAGATGCTACCGCTTGCGCCTGCCAACACGAAGGTAGTTGCGAAGAATGTTCTACACACAACATGTAGCCAAGGAGAAGCATGCGACGTCGGCAAGGCGTCTGCTTGCGCTTATTGCAGTGGCGACCACAAAATATACGTTTGCTCAAAGTTTAGCCGACTCGACGCAAATAGTAAACTTTCTGCCATCAAATCTCAAGGTGCTTGCCTAAACTGCCTTAGCAAAGGGCACTTTCTTGCGAAATGTCGCAGTTCATCATTGTGCCGCATGTGTCGGCAACGCCATCACACGCTGTTGCACGCAAGTTTCAACAACCAACAGGAATCAACCGCTACGAACGCAACAAGCCAGCACGTTAGTGTCACGTCACATTACGCTGATGCTGATCGTGTCACTTTGTTGGCAACCGCCGCAGTCTTAGTACAAGACGACGCTGGTCGTTGGCAACCAGCTCGCGCCCTCCTCGATAACGGCTCGCACGCCTCATTCATAACTGAGGCCTGCGCTCAACGACTTCGACTTCCCAGACGATCTTCATCCGCTTACGTCACAGGTATAGGGGCTACCCAAGGTGGCCGTACAAAGGGAGAAGTAACCCTACGCATATCACCGCGATCATTAGACGCAAACTTCCAAGTGAGTACATTCGTGTTACCCAAAATTACTAATGATCTTCCATCCACCGCTGTACCGACATCCACCGTGCCACACATTCTGGATTTATCGCTGGCTGACCCAAGTTTCGCCAAACCTGGTCCAGTTGATATCCTTATAGGCATGGACGAAATGGACAAAATCCTACTAAATGGGTTAAGAAAGGGCCAACATGGCACTCCAATGGCGCAAAACACTGTGTTCGGTTGGGTATTGCTCGGGAACGCGGCCAATTTACTAAGCAGCCCACATCCATAACCACCTTACACTGTGACACGCAACTATCCGAGCTGGTCAACAAGTTCTGGGAACTCGAAGAGTTACGCCGAGAAAGCATTACACTCCGGAAGAACTCCCTGTGAACAACTTTTCGAAGACACTACCAAGCGAGCTACGATGGTAGATACGTCGTGCGCTTACCGTTGAAGAAATCCGTACCGATAGGTGAATCTAGAAGCATTGCAGTCCGAGCATTACTCCGAATGGAGAAGAGGTTTGCTGCTGACGAACAACTCTATCGAGAATATTGTAAGTTCATGGAAGAACTTCTTGACTTAGGCCATATGGAGCAAGCTGGTGCCGTTACAGGCGACACGTACTACATGCCGCACCACGCCGTGGTAAAACATTCAAGTGCCACGACTAAGCTCAGAGTAGTATTCAACGCGTCCATGAAGACGTCATCCGGAAACTCGCTCAACGATGCTCTGATGGTAGGGCCGCAGCTACAACAAGACCTATTCTCCATACTAGTTCGTTTCCGCACGCATCGCTATGGGCTGATCGCGGACATCGAGAAGATGTACCGCCAGGTTTACGTAGCAGAACAAGATGCTGACTATCAACGTATAGTATGGCGTGAGAACTCTCACAACCCATTCGCGATTATCGTCTTCTGAGAGTAACTTATGGAGTGGCTTCGGCATCGCATCTTGCTGTGAAATCGTTACATCGCGCTGCGCTGGATGCAGGCGATGCATAAAAGGGATCGCTGATGTCATTACAAGGGATTTCTACATGGACGATTTGTTAACGGGGTCGGACTCCCTGCATGACTTAATCACGCTGCAGAAAGATGTCGCCTTCGTATTGTCTAAGAGTGGTTTTGAACTGCGAAAATGGGCCACGAACTGTCAGCCGTTACGAGAACGAATACCGCACGTTTCCAAGCAAGTTTCGCATCTTTTAGCTGAAGGAAATGAAATCCGAACTCTGGGTTCCGTTTGGCACACCGATAATGATTTACTTTCTATTGCTGTCAATCTACAAGAATTGCCTGACAAGATCACAAAACGCGTGTTTCTATCCGACTCAAGCAAGATATTCGATCCGCTTGGATTAGCCGCGCCCTGTACAATTCGCGCTAAAATTTGGTTACAAAGGGTATGGCGTTCAAATGTAGATTGGGACGAGTTAGTACCACTGAATGTAGCAGAAGATTGGTTGGCGCATCGAAGTGAGTTACCTAAACTTGCATCGCTTAAGCTGAAGCGTTGGCTGGGCACGGGCTCAGTGGTCGACGCGGAATTCCATATCTTTACGGACGCTTCGGAAGCTGCTTATGCGGCTGCGCTTTATTGCCGGACGCAAAACGCAAACGGTGAGATAGAGGTGGTATTAGTTGCCGCCAAAACCAAGGTAGCGCCTGTGAAGGTCATTTCGTTGCCGCGCTTAGAACTATGCGCTGCTCATTTAGGCGCAAGGCTGGTACGGCAAGTTCAATCTAGCCTCGCCTGTAAGCTCGGTAAGCTGTACGCGTGGACAGACTCCACAGTTACGTTAGCGTGGTTACAAGGTACTCCAAGTCGCTGGTCCGTCTTCGTTGCAAATCGCGTTGCGGACGTACAGGAAGTGTTGCCGGCAAATCACTGGAGACACGTCGCGTCGGAACATAATCCTGCTGATTGCGCTTCGAGGGGCATCACGCCTTCTCAGCTGCTCGCGCATCCTCTTGGTGGCATGGGCCGCATTGGCTGCGAGCTCACAGCGAACCTTGGCTTAATCCCTCAATACAGCTCAACACCAACCTCGAACTGAAGTCAAACAAGATGTCGCATCTAACGCAGACCGCTGGCGAATGGGATCTTTTGACCAGATACCACTCGTTCAACATACTCAAGCGAGTAACCGCTTACGTATCCGCTTCGTAAAAAACTTACGAATTGCCGCCTCTCGCTCTAACGCAGATAAACGAAGACTGGGTCCGTTAATCTGCGCAGAAATTCAAGAAGCCGAATTAGTTTTGGTAAAGTATGTTCAATCTAACGCCTTCGAGCAAGAAGTTTTTAATTGCAGTTCAAGGAAGCCGGTACCCGTTCGGAGCAGTCTTATACGTTTACAGCCGTTTCTGGACGCTAAGGGCCTCCTACGTGTAGGAGGTCGCATCGAAAATTCTACACTTTCCAACGATGCTAAGCATCCAATAATACTGCCAAAGGGGTCTTCGTTGGCAAAGATAATCGCTGCCGAAGTGCATATCACAACGCTACATGCTGGGCCTCAAATAATGCAGGCTACGCTTCAACGTCGATTCTGGGTCCCCGGTATTCGAAGCCTCGTTCGAGCCATATATCGTAAATGTGCTCGCTGCAAACGTCTCAATCACAAGCCGCTGCAACAGCTCATGTCCCAACTTCCGCTCAGCCGTGTAACTTGTGCACGGTGCTTTCTCCACAGTGCTGTAGATTTTGCTGGGCCTTACGCCTTGAAATTTTCCCACGGAAGGGGTGCTAAGTCAACGAAGGCATACATTTGTTCGTTTATATGTATGAGTACAGGCGCAATGCACCTGGAACTAGCAGGTGACCTTTCTTCAGTTGCGTTTATCGCTGCGTTCAAACGTTTCACCAACCGAAGGGGCTACTGTCAGCATATCTACTCTGACAACGGAACGAATTTCGTTGGCGCTGAAAGGGAGTTACGCATCGCATACGAACGCTGCATCAGTGACGATAAGTTGTCGTCGTACTTCACCGATACGCATACCACTTGGCATTTTAATCCACCCAGCGCCCCTCACATGGGCGGTTATTGGGAAGTGGGCATAAAGCGCGTCAAGTATCACTTAAAGCGTGCGCTGAATTCAACACTCCTGGCTTATGAAGAATTTTCAACCGTGCTAACCGAGGTCGAGGCTTGTGTGAACTCTCGTCCTATCTGCTGGATATCCACAAACATTAACGATTTGGAAGTCTTGACTCCCGGCCATTTTTTAGTTGGCGAACCTTTGAAGACGCTCCCCGATCCCGATGTGGAAATGTTCAAGGGTTCTCTTTTCCAACGATGGCAGCTCATCACGTCAATAAGACAACACTTCTGGAAGCGCTGGCGTGACGAGTATCTTGTAAACCTTCAGCAAAGAACAAAATGGTTCCGCTCAACGCCAAATCTGCAGAAGGACGATGTGGTTGTCATACACGATAACAACGCCCCACCTACCAAATGGAAACTTGGACGTGTACTTGATAGCCACCCCGGCACCGACGATCGCGTGCGTGTTGTCAGCTTAAAGACCGCAGAAGGTGAACTCTTGAGACCCATTTCGAAACTAACGCTGCTGCCGACAAAAACTGATATATTTACTACCTGAATTTCCACTCAATTTAAAATGTTAATCTAATTTTGAACGGTCGTTCAAGGCGGCCGGTATGTTCGCGCCTAACTGGTAACCCTATTGTAAGGACCTGCTAGTTGGGCAGTACTTATCGGAGTTTGTAAGTTCTTGCTAGTTTGGTAGCACTGAGTTGTAAGCTGTCAAACCATGCTTCCGTTTTACTCTATTATTAAATCGCTTTCATCAACATAAAACGTATATATTTTTTCATCTGGGTTAATCCGCTAAATTGTAATCGAGTTTCGACCGCTTTTAATCGCTAACAATAATATTAAAGCATTTTGTTTTATTTCCTAATGAAATTCTTGTTGAACAAATTTCCTCGCTTCATTTTCGCGTTTTTTTAACAAAATGGAAAGAAATAAGTTTTTCCCCATACTTCTATTTTTGTGACCGGCTCTTAGCCAGCTGACAGATTAGTGCCTTATTTTTGAGACTAGAGACGTGAGGCAGCGTACTGAATACCAAATAGTCTCAAAATCCAAGTTCACCACCAAAAGTCACTATTAGTGACTAGAGACCGCTTACTGTTTAAAAATATTTTTGAATAGAGTTGCCACCTATTATAAAACTCATATGTATATTAATATATGTAAAGATATAATACGCGATCGCATTTTTTGAAGGTTCAAAAATGAGATGTCAAGTTAAAAAGTTTGGCCTTTACATTTGCAATAAGGTTTCACTGTTTGAGCTAAGAACTTTTTTAGCGGTACAGAGCGAGACCACTCTTTATTCATAAACGACTGGACGGCTTTTGATGAAGTTTGCTTACAATTTTGACTACCATTTGGAATATTTTAGGTTGCCACCTGTTTAATTTTGTATACGCTAGTTATTCATATTATTAGTTAAGGAAACATCAAAAGTGAATACACCAACTCTCAACGCGAAAAAAATAAATTTATAGAGCCTCGGAAAATGTTATGCAAAACTACTAAATGATTTCACATGAGATATTTGCTCTTATTTGAATAAAATCTAATGTCCATTTTTTAATTTAATTTTATTTTTACTGCTTCGCACATAATTCTAGCATTTTAAATTAAATGTAAATATTTATACAATCCATTTTCTGCTTGCTTAACACTCTAGGTTTTTTTTATATAACGCGTAAATAGAACCAAATATATGTGTATAGTACATACATACATACATAACATATATATTACATACACATATATTTTTGATTTGTAAACCAAACAACTAACAATCTCTGCTCTATTATTTGTATGTTCCTTATTCTATAATATAATGTTTGTAATGTATGTATGTATATTTGCGTTCGTTTATTATAAACTAACATCATATCAAATTACAAATAAGTATACACATATATATCCATATCTTAATATCTATTTATCTCTCCATTTTGATTTAAATTTTTTGTTATTTATATACACGGTCTTTTATTCCTATTCTAAATTTGATACGTTTATGAATTACTATGCATTTTATTTTCATGTATCGAATGCTGTCGCATCTCTCTTTAAATATTTGTGTAGTTTGAACCAGATTTCCATAGATTTGCAAAGTGGAAGTACGTATCAAATTAACTCAACCAAAAATATCAATCGTATTTCCTTTCTTCTTTGTTATCGTACCTGTACTTAAATTGAAAGTAGAGAGTATGTAGTGCCTTGAAATATCTCAGTTATTATTCATTTGGTTAGTTTTGATTTATTAAGCTTATCGATTATATACAAAGATCCTACATGCGTACCAGGGTTATTACGAATATCCGCATTCGCAACCAAAGAGCTTCCGCATTAATTAATTCGCTTTCGCATTCGCAATAATCAATACGGAGCTTTTGCGAATGCGAATGTTGTGCAAGTACACCGATAAAACGTATATCTGGCAAACAAAATGACAAATTGTAACCAATATTTTTGCCGGTGGTCGTGGGAGTTTTTGTGTAACAAACCTGGTCAAATGTCATATTTATCAACTTTTATAAACATTTCTTTAAGCATATTATTTCTTAAACTATATAATCGAGCTATCAATGGGCAGTCATACAAGTTCCCACTTCTACTTGACCTTTGACGTACGTCGTTTTAATAATACTAGTATCGCCCAGTGGTCGAAATTCAACCACATCACTTATTTTGTACACCTTTTTATTTTGCTTGTGACGATTTTAGGCTCCATCAGCACCTCTTTTCGTCTATGTCACTAATATTGTTAGGGGGGTTATATTCCATCGGTTAAATAATCTTATAATTCATAGGAACAGAAGGGAGAATTAAATTTGTATGGGAATTCGAATGCGTAGTAATATATAAGATGACACGTTGATTCTCTAACTGATATTGGGACTGAACTTTTACCAATCGGGACTTAATAGTTTTTTCTTTAAGTTTTCGCTCAAAGTGGCTCTTAGAGGGTTAAAAACTAAATTCGGCACATCTTCACTAACTCATCTTTCATCTGATATGGGTTTAATTTAAATCAATGGGGATTAAGTACCTCAAAAGTGTACCACAAAAATCATGTTTGCGTATTAAAATATAAGATGTCATTTTGCTTCTCGAGCTGAACTTGTACCAATCAGGTTTGTAAACAATTTTTTTTTTCAAATATTTTACTCAAAGTGCGTCATAGGGGGTTAAAAACCAAATTCGGAACATCTACGCCAACTCATCTTTCATTTGATATAATTTTCATTTAAACAGATTTTTTTAAATATTTTTTAATAGTGGCTCTTAGAGGGTTAAGAACTAAATTCGGCATATTCAATTCAATGGGGATTAAGTACCTAAAAAGTGTACCACAAAAATCATGTTTGCGTATTAATATATAAGATGTCATGTTGATTCTTTAGCTGATATTCGGGCTGAACTTGTACCAACCCAGCAAAAAACACGATTAACACAGAAACGAAAGTGTAAACGAGCTAGGCGATGGGAATCGCTTACCCTTNAACGAAAGTGGAAACGAGCTAGGCGATGGGAATCGCTTACCCTTTCGCTTCAAGAAGGCCTTATTTTAACATGGGCATGTCATTGGAGGTAAGCCCTTACCCGCAGCATTACCTTCAAACGAAGGGAGAACGCATGGATAAACAGAATCCAGAGAAGCGAACAAAGAATGCCTTACAGGGAAACTAATGTAGAATGCCTAGATAAGTACATACTTATTTATATATAGTTGAAAGCAGAAAATGTCTTAAAAGATTAAAATTAATTACAATTTTTATAAATCAGCTTTTATACATACATATGTATGTATTTAGGTATTTAGATTTTCTTAAAAATCGGTATGTACATATATGCATATTTAATTAAGCTTAAAATTGTACTTCCCCACTCTCGTACTTCACTTCATTGACTGACTTAAATTTCGCTGCAAATTAAACAAAGCAAAACATGATTTTTATGCGAGACAAATTTCCACAGAAAGTAACGGTAGAAAAAGAATTTTTGG